GCAGCTCCTATATTTAGCGAAATCAGATACAGCAATAAACAATTAAAAATGACTTCAGATACATTAATCTTGGGGCTCGCATTTCGTGCTTTTCTTACTTGGAAGTCCGTGGGGAATCCTTTCTTGCCTGCCTTGTCTTTGCTTCGGATGTACTCTGCCAGGTTCTCTTCTCGTACCGAGGGCAATTCAGCGTAGGGCAATTCTTCCTCATCTTCGTCCACCACAGGCTGCTCCAGGGTCTCTTTTGGTGAGTTGGTTGAGACCCAGCGGGGTTTAAGGTCAGGCTTGGGCTTTGGAGTGGGTGGTGGCTCAGGATATATCTCCACAGGATTAACAGTAGCGTAAGCGCTTGGTGGATTCTCCGGTTTCTGATCTAATAATTACAAAAGCGGATTATTTTAGTGGTTGCTAAAGACACCCATGCGTTTTATCATTTTTGACAGTCGTCAAAAAACAGTCCTAAATGTACTGATATACCTGGTAGGAAATGTGCATCTCTTCCTTTCAGTGGAACGTCTCCATCGATATCAAGTGGCTGCTTTGTTTGACGAGTCCGTCTGTATTTTAAAGGGAAAAAAAGGGGTTTTTTTTTCGTTTTTACTGCTCGAGGAAAGACATATCCTTCAAAATAATTTTTACTATCAGAAGCAAACGCATACAGTTTCCAAGTGATAATTACTGTAAGACACCTTTTCATATTTCTTTGGACAGGAACACAGTTGATACAAAGACTTGACCAACGGTATTAGCCAAAGGTTTCCTTTGAGCCAAAAGAGAATAAACTTTAATTTGAAAATTTACCTTTTATAGAGTACAATGGGGACTATTACTAACAAGATCAGGATCACAATGGTAGCTACTACTGCCCCAGCGACAGCTGATGACGAGTCAGGAACTGGTGTGTCATCCACTGCTGGCGCTGCTTTAGTTAATGAAAAAAAAAACCGCAAGATTTGACTGACATTTTAAACAAATTGACTGCTGAGCTGAAAAATATAGAGCTATTCACCAAAGACATCATTTAGAACAGTTTTCTTTTGTATAGAAATGCAGAAGAAACGATGATCATCAATCAACAGCAAGCACTAATCTGGCGAAAACAGACAGGAAACATGTCAGTAAACTGAAGGGTTTTGTAACTAGCCTTTTGAGGTGGTCTTGTTTGAAGCCTGACTATATGGTCCAGCCCCTACAGTGGTATTGGCAGCAACCTGAAAACTGTACTCAGTCAGCGGCGTTAAACCTTCGATGGTCACCGATTCGTCCGATGTCACTGACTGAATGACTGCTTGGGATTCCGGGCTTACTTCAGTCAGTTTGTACGTGTAGCCTGTGATGATGCCACCTCGGCTTCCACAAGGTGGCTTACTCCAGGAGACACTCAGACTGTATGGTGTTGCTGAGGTGAAATTCACGTCAACTGGGGCCATAGTTGGCTCTAATTATACAAAAATATACAAGTATTTTGAACATATTTCCTACTGAAAATCGAACAGCTATTCGCCAAAAGGCAAACATTTGGCTTTCTGAATTGAGTTTAATGACTGACATTTTGAAAAAAGGACAAAAAAGCAGATTGCAACATTGATTCCAACTTCATAAACCTGTGGTCTTACTCGTTATTTGTGGAAATGTCACCTCAGGTCCACGTTCATTACCCGGGTAGACTGGTCGCATGTAAACTCTATGGCTTAATGGTGACTCTAGACCAGTGATGAAATGGTAAGCATTTTCCAGTGTCATTTCCTGATATACAATGTCTTCACACTCGTCCCGAGTTGTCAATTCGTAGCCAGAAACGCATGGATCTGGTTGCCAAGTAACGAACAATTGATGGGGGTCGCCTGACGTCACTTCAAGCCCAAGCACGCCATTCTGAACTGGAACAAATTTAGGCTTTACTGTCATTATGGGATCATAACAGAAATTCAAATCAACAGAGTCTTTGTACTGTTGAGATCCTTGCTACTGTGCCGACCCTGAAAACTTGGAAGAAGTTTTTAAATTTTTATCCAAATCTAGAACTATAACAAACAACATCGTTCGGAAAAGCTTAAAATGCAATTTTGATTGAAAATAGCTATCCATTGCATCAAACTTTTTTACAACTTTTTACAAACTAACTTTATACTGACAAATTGTCATGACAAGTAATGCCAAATTCCTTATTTTATTTACTGATTCTTGTCCAAATTTGACTTACTTGAGCACTGACAGTTCGTACCAAAATATGATGCCTCACAACCTGCCGAAAAAAAACCAAGGCAAGATTTAGTTTTTACGACCTAGGCCTATATGCATGTAATTCGTAGAGCAACTGCGGTGCCAGGAGTGAGAAAGCAATTTTTAGAGTGAATCTGGTTTCCATTCATCGGTCATCCTCTGAATGAACATAAAACTACTACTTTTTCATTATAAGTTCTTGCGGAATAACTCCTCTCACCCATGCTACATTCTCCTGTATCTTTACTGCACGTTCCTCCTGATACACAGTGACAAGTCTGCTGGCAATCTGCACCAAACGTCCCTTCGTTGCATTCTGATAAACGTCATAGATATAAAAAAAAACAAATGAAAAGGCAATAGCCAATGAGTCTGGCCCCAAGGTGTGGTTTGGGGAATAAATTGTTTCAGAAAAAGCATGAATTCAAAGTCTTTAAAATAACCCAATATGCAGTTGATGACGTATCACAGTCTTCACTGATCGGATAGGGGTCGTCGTATGCCACGAACAGAAACAGATCACGTAGGCTACAAGTTACATTGATAACATGAACATGAACGGCACCTTCCTTAGTTGTTGAGGGTATTTTTCTTGGGATTTACCAAACGATGGTTACACAAAACAACTCCC